TGAAAATATGTATTGGAACCCTGAGGCCACATACCATTTCAAACTGTATGATAGAGCTTGTTAAAATTTTATTTGAAGTTTGAGGTTCTCCCCCCAGAAATGAGAATTTGGAGTTCAAAGTTCATAAACTTTTAGCTCCAGCTTTTTCATATCCTGTGAATATTAAACAGCCTTCTCATTTCTTACCATCTTTGTACCAATTATATATTTTTTTTAGTGACCAACACAGCTACCCTATTTTATATGTTTTCAGAGAAATTTAGTTCTAGAGTCATTCAGTGGCTAGAAAGCTCTTTAGTCAACCCACAGGCCACATAGAAAAATACATTATCCTAAGTATAGAAAAAGCCTTTCTTGATGTTTGCATGTACACCTGTTCCTTCTTAATCAAATTAACAAAAGTTCCCAGGAAGGATATAAATAAAGTCAAGAGGAAAGTGTCATGAGACAATTGTGTGAACATTAATCATGCTAAATTATATCTAACAGGAGTTTCCTGACGATCTTAAACACAAATTCTTAATTTATCTCAAATTTGTGTTAGAAATTTTAGATATTCCTAGTTTTTCAAGCCCAAATCTTTTTAAAATTAGATTTAAAGCAGATACTGAAACCTCTGGACTTTTTTCCAGCTTAAAAATACATTTACAAATAGAGGCAAGTGGTATACACATACACTTATCTAACTTTTCAAAATATCTCTGTAACTCTTACATTGGTAAAATATCATACATGCCATCTGTATAATTATGGTAACCTGGATTCATTTTACACACAAAAAATACACTCAGATTTGGGGGAAAAATAAATTTAAAAAAATACACCCAAGTCATCCTATTTGAGAACATAAAGTCAACTCTTATACAATTTTTTAGTGCCTTTAAATTTTGGAATATTATATTTTGTCAATAGTTATCAAGTGAATAGATTTGAAAATGGTCCTATTTCAGCTTCTTATTCAACAATGTAAAAACAAACTGATACTGAAAAAAATTAAGTATAAAATATTTACTTATTAAATAATAGTGTTAGATAAACAATATTGAGTAATAAAAATATTAGAGATTCTTGGTAACATAACACATAAGAATAAATATTTTACACATTTTCTCAGAATATTTTGTTCAATTCTCAATATTAGAATAATCTTGCTTAACAAATTCCCAAATTTGAAAAAAATAAATACTGAAAACTCAGATTAAAAGAAAAATCTCTGAATACACTCAATTTAAATTTTAAACTGAAAATCCCAAATAAAATGAATTTGTATAATTAAAATCTACTCTGACATAGTATTGAACTCTTGCTCCTTTGCAAAGGCAAATAAAATGTCCAAGTTTCAGTCATAGAACTTAATTTTTTTTCTAATTTAAATAGAATCAAAATATTTGTTAGAATTTAAAATACATTTATTTAATGCCACATTTGGCATTTTTATTTTACTTATCAATACAAATTATGTCTTATGTCATATAAAGATCACTGATGAACTGACATCATTGTTGATGTCAAAGTAAAAATGGTGTATATTTATATTCTCTATCTCCATAACAATTACAGAAAAGAAAGAAAAATTATGTTTTTAAAAGATTCTTAGAGATGTGTTTCATTTTCATTGAAAATCACAGAAACAAAGGTCTAAAATAACTATGACTTCAGTAACAGAATTCATATTTATTACTTATTGGAAGTTATATTGAATTTTACAGAATTGTGTAATACCTACTTAAGAATGAAAACAGTTCATCTCAAAACTAAAATATAATTAATGATTTAAGTATTGTCAAAATTTTTAATTTTTATTATTTTTCCTTTTGTTTTGGTCATTTTCTGATATTGTTCTTGTCATTATTGTTACAATTATTATTCTATTATCTTTCTAGCTACCAAGCTGTATGCATCTTCAATTTGTTTTCTATTTCTACTTTAGATTAATCACTACATTAAGCACTCACTCAATTAGTCAAATATTTTCTGAGCCTCTAGTAAGCACTGATAATTAGAGTACCGTAAAATATTA